TTGTGAGCTGGTTTTGTTATTTAGTCACATTGCCGTGCCTTTCATGTGTATCATTTGCCTGTGCTAAAAAACTAATTCAATATAATATTAAAAGATTACAAATAATTTGGGCATGATCATATCTGAACTCATTGGGTCAAATTGGGTTTTGTGACCCTGTTTTGTAAAGTTGGACATTTTAAAATGAAAGATAAATAAATAAAATATGTATTAAAAAATGGAAGAAAATATCTATATAAAACGTAAGAGGTTAAAGTTAAGAATTTGCAATAAAAAAGTAGAAGGAAATCAAATTAAAAAAATATATTTATACAAGAAGTTAATAATTAAAAATAAATAAAAAATAATATAATTTACATAAACAAATATATTACAATAAATACAGAGGTTTATAATTATCAATACGATATTACTGCTCAATGCAGTCATAGTGCTCGGCTTTTGAATAAAACACAGATAATTGAGAATATGGAAAAGTGTATTCAAGCATCCGAACTGTTGCCTTTTTTCACCATGTACTGCCTTCAATCCAATCCAGATCGACAGGGATATTTTTAAAACACTTAAAGCATAAATAGTACAACGCTGCTACACCATCTGACATGACAAAAAAAAGCCTCTAACACATAGTGGAGCTAGCTGTTATGTTAAGTAATGGTCTGTCATTTTAGAAAATCACAAATCAATCACACAGTGACCAACACGGTCAGAGATGAACACGCCTCCGCTCTCCAGAGACCGGCAGTCCCCGGGATGTCGAGGGGCTTGGCCCAAAAACATGGCTGCCTCTGCAATTAATTACACGTCCAAGAGAGGAACCAACCAATGGATCATCGCGGCCCTGCTCTTCCTTTGAGCTCAAGGACAGTCACAGTTTCTCTTTAAAATAGGTGGGGGAGGCGTCATCCCCTGCTGACAGTGTCCACTGCCACGTGTGGGAATTAGTATGGGGGGGGGTATGCGTCACAGACGCCGTGTGGGGACAATGCCCTCAGCTTTCAGGACTAGGATTAATTCTTATTTTCATCTTCCTGATGTGTAGTTTGTAAAAATGTCTTGTACATAATCAAAGATGGCAACTTCCTAAACCAAGATCCAAACATAAACTACGAGCAGGAATTGATGTTTTTGTCGCAGAAATATTTTTAGAAAGTTTAAACATTTTTTTTTTCTTTCTCATCTTTATCCCCTTCTTTGCTGCTGCCATGGCCCAATTTCCCCATGGGGATCATTAAAGTTTCATCTTATCTTATCTACCCCTATCTCTCTCCCTTCCCCTATCACCCCTCATCACCCCCCCCTCCCCAAGCCTTCGCTTAATTATGTCCCGTGAATGAAGTTCATCTTTCATGCTGCCAGCAGCGTGGNGAGTAGCACTTGAAATGTTTGGCTCTATGAAACCTGATGTACTTACTGTATATGATTCTGTTTTCTTCAAGTTTGTATTTTGTTGGTCGAACGCACTTATTGTAAGTCGCTTTAGATAAATGCATCAGCTAAATGCAATGTAATGTAATGATGGCACTACTTCTATTCTATTTTATTGTATTTACTTGCAGCCTGGGACCTAAGATTTTCATCGACATAACTACACTGTAGCTATTTACGAATGACAATAAAAAGCCTTGAATCTTGACAAAGACACTTACTGTGTATTCTCAAAGTAGCTTTTCAGAAAAGTGGACTTGAAAGTGGTTTTATTATGTATAATCAACATACTGCTTGTGATGAAATTCTTGGAGCAAAGAACCGGAGCAGATCGGAGAGCTTGAACTGATGTCAGAGATTGAAGATGTATTAAGTTACTGATGGAGAATTGACATAGACATACATATGCTGAGGAACCGTGAGACAGCCTCTGCCCAACCAGCTCACTTATCTAATGGCTATTCTTGGCATGTGCATCTTACCTTACCTAACCCTTTTGATTATAGGCTCATCGTGGGTGAGGTAAAAAAGTCAATTTCATCTCCATTGTCTTTTCATTGACTCCTGCTGCTTTTATAATGAAAAAGCAAAAGGGCATTAAGGTTTGTCCTTCTTTCTCTCCATTTCCAATAAAAGAAAATGGCCAACAAGAGATCAAATGCAAACTGTTGAGAGGGACAAAGGAGGTTAGATGAAATGGAGGTGCATAACAACTATAGAGAAGTGAGGATAAGAAGAAAGAGAGAGACGAAAAGAAATTATTTTGTCAAAATCCCCTTTCATCTCACTCAGTGTCGCAGAAAGGTTCATCTCTGTCCAGCAAACACTTTCTTCTACTTCACGGGGTGCCACTTTCCCTCTATTGCCTTCCCTTTCCTCTCCTCCTTTTCCTTCCTTCTCCCCTCATTCTTGCTCTTTCTCACCCTCTCATCCCGAAAGCAGAGTGACAGCCATTTATTTCACATCAGACCCACTTTATGACTGCAACCGCTTTGCATTCATGCTGGACGGCCTGCCTAAAAGGCTTTCTGACAAGGCCATGAATACGCTTAGTCGCTTCTCACTCCTTGTTTCTCTCCGCTTGGCTGGACAGTGATGCTGATATTAACTGAACTTTGATGCAAAGTCCCACTATCCGTACTCATACGACTACTTGTCTACCTTTCTGTTTCGCAAGTGAAGCAGCAGAGACAGACTCAAACTAGAAACCACTACATCAGGCCAACTCTTGACCAATACCACTGAGGTTTGTGGTCATTTATGAGATATAATTAGTTTTTCAGAGAGGTCTGACATATGAATGACAAAAAGTAAAATATGGTAACTTAAGGCGACCCAGAAGTTTACCCAATTTGTTTATTGGGGAAACGAGCCAATCTCTTTGAGCAGCATTGTTGGATATCATGTGGGATCGACCAGCGACATGAATCATTTCGTTTTCATAAAGTTAGAAGTATTTTACCTGTACGAAAATGTGAAGTCATACTAAATTACCTAGAAATAGCCAAACATCTGACAAAGAAAGTGCTGCTTGGAACAGTTTTTAGGGTTGCTAACTTGCTTACACAAGGCTAGCTAATGAACAAGCTAATTGCTGACCACGGGGAAACAAAAACGAACAATTGACCAAAGTCTTCTAAAAAGGAGTAACCATAAACTTAGCTAGCAGCGCTACAATGCTAACATTTGCATAATAAACTGCGAACGTTCTCATTTATTTTTAGAAAATGTTTACAATGTTCACCTCAGTTTAGCATGTTAGCATGCTAAACCCAGATATGTGATTCAACTTGTGTCTGTCTGACAGTGGATAGTTAGGCTTCAGAAATAGCTTGTATTATCTAACACATAGCCTACAGTAAAAAGAACCATTAGATTACAGTGCACATACACAGATACAGCTTGCTCCCCATGTCCCACCCACACAGGCCCTCAGCTGTACAAGAAGGAATTGGTAACAATGACCCAGATAATACATCTATTAACTCAGCAATGAGAGCAAGCAGTTTGTCTTCAATAATGCATAAATTAAAATATAAACAAGGTAAATTAATATGAGAAAATAAAGATTCTCAGTATTGGATTTATATATATTGCGAAAATTCTCGGTCATAAAATCATCTTTAGGGCTCTCTGAATCAGCATCACCAGGGAGTGTTGTTAATTCCATGTTGCTCTCATACTTTCATTCAGTCATCTGGATGTAGTATATTTTAATGGGGTCGTGATATTCCAGGGGCACGCTTCATGTCACAGAGAGCAGGAAAATCATTCCTCAAGATGCAACATTTCCCTGTAGAAGCAGACTTTCCTTTATTTCCTTAATTTGTTTTGGTATTTTCCACCACAGGATCGTTTACATGTTGCAAATACATAACATCTGCATTAACATCTTTTGCAAGACTAATATGAGTCGTAGTAATGTGCAAATTGGAAGCACAAGTCAAGATGTGGATGTAAACTCAACGTAGGATGTAACCGTTAGCTCAACACAGTCTGTGAAGTGAACAGTAAAACAGCTACTGCAGGTGAAATTACTTACAAGATGCCTCCAAATGGGATAAACTTCCAAAGGCCCTTCCTGAGGTAATAATTACTAATCAACAGACTTCCCCTGGCAATACTTGTGCTACCTAAGAGGGCATTAGTCTGGTATCAGCCTGTTCTTCCCTACAGCATATCCCTGATGCAGCGATTACCGGTGCCTCCCCGGACCAGGGTGGAGGTTATTTATGATACGTGGGAAGGCACTCGGGCTAAGGCATTTGAACTAAAGTGAACCACGGTTGGGAAATTGAGCAGAGTCAGCAAAAGGAGGTGCTAGCACAGCAAGTGGGCAAACTCCTGCCTTCTGCTCGCTCTTCTACAGATTTAACTCACTCTCAATTCATCTGTGCACGGACCGAGCAACTCCTGACGGCAGGAAAGTATTCTGCACCAAAGTGATTGACAGGAAGAATAAAACGGTTTAAAAGTGTAGCTGTATTACAGAGATTGTACTTTTTGAAGGTCACCTATTATACAAAATCCACTTGTCTTTTATACATCAACATGTGTCCCCCCTGTGTAAAAAGGTTCTGAAAGTTTCAGGAAAAAAGATTCTCTCACCTTTTGTCCTGATCCATTTATATAAAAACCTGTGATCAGATTTTGGCCACTTTATGATGTCATAACGATTTTTTGGCTTGTGTAACCATTAGCCAATCACCAACCAAGGTAACACCCGCCCACCTTATCACCTGGATCTCCTCCTAGAGCACCATTGTGTTCTTTCTAACCAAATATCTCTCAGAGGGGCGTGGGGAGGGGCTCCTTATTTTCATCTAAAGTAACAGACAGAGAATCAGCACTTTTGAAACAGGGCTGAAACAGAGGGGATTATGGGATGCTGCAATGATCTTTTTGGTGTTTGGAGCCAAACACTTCAGAGAAATGTTTTGTATATATCTGAGAACTATAATATATTGATGAAAAACAGTATAATAGGGACCGGTTTTCTTAACTTACTTTAGAGGTATGAATTCATGAATTAAATAGTGCTTTGCAGTTAAATGATACAGCTTTACTCGTACCTGGTCTTCTTTGTTGGTGTGTCGAAGGAGATGCGTGAGGAAGTCCAGACGGGAGCACTTCCTGACCAGGATGAGGTCTGTGGTGCCGTCAGCGAGGTGGGCGGAGGGCGACAGACCATTTGGACTGCGGGGACACGCGCAGCTCATACTGGCCGCATTTATTGCAATGAACTTTCCACGGATAGTCCTCCAACCACCAACTGAAACAGAGGAGTCAAGAGTTGGAGCAGGACCACACATACAGTTCATGTAGCTGTTCAACTTACAAGACTCCTTTGTTTCTATACCTTCTATCCAAAGTTTCCATATTTAATATTTTCCATATTTCATTGTATGCCACTGCAATGCAGAAAAACACTTAGTTGTATAGTAGTCAAGATTCATTATTTTAGATGTATAAGGGGCTCTAAGTTCATGCATTACCGGTTGTGTTTTTTTATAACTTTTAGACTTTTTTTGCAATGTTAAAACCCCTCCATCTGATATTGAAACTTTTAAGTGAACAGACTTTGAGCTGCAGTGAATACACTAAACAGTGATTTATTTATTTATTACCAAGCAGTTTCGCAGCGTTTGCAAACATGTCACATCAGATTTAGCTTGAAGTATTGTGTCAGCTTTCAGCTAGTTACTTCTACAAGTTAAATACAAAATAATCCAAACCTTTGGATTCCTTTCAAACTCCAGTTAGTATTTTCCAGAAGTGCTGATGTTAGACTGACACAAATAATCTGTGCACCATCAGGTATTGGGTTTAGAAATTACACTGTGTATTTTGCCAGTGCTTTATAAGTCCTTAAGGTTAAGTGCTCAGCGTGTTACACATCAGCACTGATGCTTATCAGAGTCCATTAAGACCCAGATGTCTTGGCGGGAATCCTCAGAGCAGCTGATGATTGAGCCAATATAGGAACTCTGATGCTGAAAGTAATGAGTGTTATTGCCCTTGTAGGAGAGCTGAATGTCTTATGTATCAAAATGCAATTAATTTTAGCCAAGCAAGGCTTCGCAATATCTAAAGAGGAAGTGGTATGGATAGCAGAGTGATTGGATTAACCTCGAGTTTGCTTGTTGCGATTAAATGCACACGTGGCCTCCGAGTCTTTAAAAAACAGACGTGTCGGTTTCACTTCACAAATCACAGCTCTGTTCCCCCGAGATTAGCGACTGTTTGCGATGGTGGCGTATCAAAGAAGCAGCATCACCCTCTGGGGCTGCCCGTGCCTGTCACCGGGGTGATAGTCACTGGAGTAAGCTGCGAAAAAGTGATCACAGACGTCCAAACCTCGGAGGGAAAATTATGTGATCTGGGAAAGCAAAACGATTCATTACCTTTCTCCCTCATTTCGCAAAGCAAACTTACAGAGGTGATAACGCAAACCGACGATAACAAGCCCGCTGAGGCTACATAAAAACAACAATATTCTAATTGGGAAGCAGTGATTAAAGCTGGAATAAACTCGACTGTCGGCACTGCATAAGAAGATTTTTTTCCAAATTAGTATTTGCTTTAGGAGGAGAGGCTGGCTCATTTGCACAGAGCGAGTGTGCCGTGCCTCATTGATTTAGCATTGGTCTGAGATTCCATCGCCAGAAAAAAGATGAGAAAAAATAAAAGATCCCAAAGCAAACGGCAGCACTGGCATGAGACAAACCCCCTGTCAGAGCTGGCAAAACTACATTTCTTCCTGATTAGTAAAAGTCTGTCACACCTCACAAACAAACAGGTTGTGTTCCCTTTTTCATTTACACAGGAAAAACACACAAACTACAGAAAGACTCAAATAGCCAAGAAAGAAAATGTCAAATTTAGTATCATGACACTTATTAGAGAGGAAAAATTACTTTCTGTATTTCATATGCCTCCAGGGGTTTGTTCAGCAGTGTCAGTGGGTTGAGAGAACCATAGATTATTAAATGTGTGTATTTTTGTGACGGTCAGGGGGACAGATGAGGGAACAGGAGGTGACGTCCTACTCGAAGCTGAGTGGACAGACACCACCCTGTCAGAGAACATGTAATCTCATCAAGTGGTGGATGCGGGAGATTTGGAAATCGATAGGCGGAAAAAAATAAAAAAGGCTCCATTGCTGGGGCACGGCAGGGAGTTGTGCAGTGTCACTAAAATCAGTTTATATTTTCGCGTCAATAACTCATCAAGAATCTCATCAGGAATTCTGCCGTGGTGCGGGAGAATAACAACCCCAACTAAAAAAGAAAAAAAATGAGATTTTTGAGAAGATGATTATTTAAAGTCCATCTCAGGTATTGCAGAATATACATTTAAAGGGAGAAGAAAGACAGCGTGGGTTTTGCACACGTCTCAGAAGTTTAGAAATAGTTAGAAAATACACGAACAAGCAGATAATGAGGCAGAGAAAAGAGAAATTCATTTTTCCGTATGATTACTTTGACGTATTTTGTGTGATAACCCCAAAGTCGTACCTTTATCAGACTTTTCCTTCTCCTCTGACATCTCCCACTGCATGTCCTTTGATGAGGGCTTATGCTGACAGACGCTGCACCTAGAATATCAGCATAACCTTGTCTTATCATGATCAAACCATCAGTGTTCGCAACTGACGTTCAAGGTTTTAACGAGCTAAGATGACTCATTATGAGCGAATAAATGTATTCCATCTTAAAAGGGTCGACCTTAGGTTAAGCTATTTATACTTAAGTCACTTTTGTAGGAAATCCTCAAAGAAGTCTGCTGCCAGAAACGCCTTATGTAGCATAATTATATGTTTTTTATGGTAAAATAGATGTCAGGAAACATGGAGTCTTACAGATTAATGGTTTTTGGACTCCATAACAAATGCAAACATGAGCTTTTTCTGAAAATACCAAATGTGCTTTCAGTCTTTAACACATCAGATAGTCTTCCTGACAATATAAAGTATCCCATTTAAGCTCTGGCAGGTGCACCGCTGCTATTGAAGAGCATCAGATAAGTAAGTAAGCACATTGAAAAGCTATAGAATTGGATATCTGTGATGCTGTGTTTACCCGGATCGACACTGCAGCTTGTCTCTGGGATCCCCCATGTTGTTCTCAGCGGGGAGGAAAGAGATGGAGCCTTCATAGTAGTTGTGACTCAGAAAGGTTTTCACACCTGGAACCAAACAACAAAGTGTGGGCAACAGAACACATGTCAATTTGAGTATAAATGCTCCTTTTCGATATATAAACGAACCTGTCCATGCACAGGCAAATGGATTTTTAAATAGGTGATATCTAAAGATTATACAGGTTTATTTTTCAACAAGCAGTTTTTACGCACATGTTAACAACTTGTTATACACTCATCTGTGCCGTTGGACCCGGTTTAGTTTTGCTGTTTCATAACTTCAATCATAAACTTGCTGCCTCTGTTTAAAGCCCCTTCCAGTACAATGTGTGCAAGTATTTAAGTGCGGACGCAGTGGGAGGATGAATCTTGCCGATGTTAGTGAGTCCCACTACGGAGCTACACAAACACTTGCACTGAATCCACAAAGGCAGAGTCTGTGTGTTAGATTTATATTTTTAATCCTCCAAAGTCTGGACCGAATGCAGGAAGAGCCAACTCAGGGATAAACTCCAGGTAGAAAGGCCTAGCTTGTAGATTCATCCAGGGTTATAAAAATGATGGCCCTCATACCTGACAGGTCATATCTAGCAGGACCCATCCATCTCTTCCTTTCGCTGTCTTTCAGTACATCACCATAGAAACCGTATCCAAGCAACGAGACAGAGTATCTGAGAAAGCTGTCGTTGTGGTGAACTGAGCACACGTCCATCGGCTGGGAATCACCTGCGAAGAGATATCGAGTAAAGTGTTAAAAAAGCCAAACAGTTGTTTGTGGCTTCCTACACAACACTGATAACATGTTGGGAAAATGTACACAGCACGCCACCCTGAGACATAGCGTGCTGTAAGTCATGTAAGTGTTTTCCAAATACTGGTATTCACTCACCCAGAATGATGTGTAAAGCAGAAGTAACTGGATCGTTGGTTCCCACTGTGGCAAAGCAGATACAATCAGTGGACCCTGTTGGATAGAAGACACACAGGTCAATAGTCAGCCATTATAGCCCGGGTATTGACAAGTTAAACACACTGCAACCTATAAAATGACTACAGTGGCACAGATACTGTTTTCACCAAAATAAAAAGATATAGCAAACCACCAATATTTTAAAAAGCAGTGTGTATAGGGGCTTTTTCTTATAGACGGGATGAAATGCTGTGTTCTCACTGCACGGTGCGGAAACTGGACTCTCTCTTTTGGTTTTTCATTAAAAATATACATTTTCTTCCCACTGTAGTCATCCAAAACATTGGAAAGGGAGATGTATTCACTTGGTTGCAACTGGTTAACTACTAGCAACAACTTAGCTTCTTGATGCTAAGAGGGCCTGGCATTTTCAGTGGTAGAAAGTTACTAAAGTTAGCGTTTAGCGAAGCTCTTATTTCTGCAGGCTGTATGTAAAGTAAAATGCTCAAAGTGATTATGCTAACATGCAGGTATAATGTCTTGGAATAGCTTGCTACTGTAGCTGGCTAACATTAGCTTATTAGCAGCACTGAACATAAAGTACAGTCGAGGCATTCTTTTTTATTTTGTTCATAAACCAAAGAATTGGATTAATTAAATATGTGAATTGACCAATAAGCAGGCAAATAGATATCGAGAAGTTTTATTGCAAACCACAAATAGCCTATGTTGTAAACCTCCTTTAGGGGTTGGACAACATTTCTGCCAATCAATTAAAAAAAACGTGGACTTTCTTTTTTAACAAGATCAGGACGATTTCCCCTTTTTTAATGAGTGAACCTTTCTTATTTCCTTATTTTCATGCATCAGCAATGGCCAGGAGAAATGTCACGCCATACTTTAAAATACTGTTCTTCCGCCATTGCTGCAGACAGGAAGTAAATCACACGATGAAATATAAACAGACCTTACAAAGGGCAGTTTTATGTGTTGATTTCTACAGTTGTGCAATTCTATAATTATGTCCATCACATGTATACATCTCTTAGTTATATTTAAAATCAATCATAAAAGTTTTGGTCCTTGGAACATGTCTTTCCACATTCAAGTGTGAATAATCCAGTTGAATGATTTTATTAGCCGGTACGTTTTTGGTCGTAAAGCGAACTAATAGGATATCTCCGGGGCCCCGGGTTATCAGCAGCTCTCCTCAGCCAACAAATTAAGGGTAAGAGAAACCCCCTGCCTTGAGAGAATGTTAGATATTACATTTTTCAACTTGAGAGACAGGCTCTCTCTCTCCTTCTGCGCCACACAGCGTCATTTCAGACCTATCTGCCCCACTTTGATCATCTTCAAGTGGTGAAATGGACCCACTGCTACTGATAAAAGACAGAGAGAGTGAGGCAGAGAGGAGAGGACAGAGTGAAATCTAACTAGTGATGTTTTGAGCTGGCTCGCAGAAGCGTGACAGGGCAGATGTGGCTCGTCATTCAGCAGTGGAAACACCGATGAGTATGAAGATGAGAACTTTCTCGGCCACATTCAGTGAATGTCTCTTATCTGCCCTTTGCTTCCTTTTTGAGAGCTTTATAATCACATCCGAAAGCCTTTTGAATCCCTCCACACAGCCCTGCACTGCCTGCTATTTTGCTAGTAAAAAAAAACAGTGACATATGTTATTTGACTCTTCTAAAGCTACTCAGTAAAAGCCAACTGACTTTGAATGGGTTTAAGCGGCACACGCAGATGTTCAATGATGTTCAGTCAGTGCTAAGATGTTCAATGTTACATTTCCTTTAAGTTACTCAACCGCATTAGGCTGTTGGCATATTCGGAGGAGAAACTGTCACAAAGCACATCCCCAGCGGAGAAGCTCCACTTTTTATCTGCATCTTCCCCCAAAACTGTCGCGCCAGTAAGATCATGTCGGCAGTGAAATTATCTTTATCTCAAGAACAACAATGGAGTCGAGATCCTTTTAGTGCGGCGAAAAATATGTTTTTGTTGTCTGAATTCTCAGTACATTAATGTATTTATAGCTGCACTAGTGACTGTATCTCATAAGGACAGCAGTAAACACTCCCCGACTTGACAAGTGGACATTAGAACAACAAATAACTTTTGCTTCCTTCAACCGATTTGGGTAAGGATTAACCAGCATTCCTTACACTGCCTTTGGCTCTATGACCCTAGCCCAGGGACACCTAAATTGCTTTTCCTGATGGCCTTTTTTGTACATTTTGTAAAGGGGGCCGAGGTCCGAGGGATTCTCCCTGGCCCTTTTTTTCTATTTTCCATTAGTCTATTTGACTTTTCTTAATGCACTCTTGCACCTTTTTAAATAAGAAATACGAAGGAGAGAAACCCCATAAAGTATCACTGCCCTAGCACATTACTTCCTACTTAAGTATAAATCTTGAATAATGTTACGAACATATACTTTCATTAGAGAGGAACAACAGGTTAAATACCTTACTCATAGAGCTGTGCGCTGTTTTTTTTTAGCCTCTTCTGGGGGGATTTCTTTTTTGTCCTATCCCATTATTTTCCATTGAAGTATACATCTTGAAATGTTGTTACAATTATATACTTTCATTAAGGAAGAATAAAAAGGTTAAATAACGTTCCCCTACCTACAGCTTGACCCTCTAGTTCTTCTAGAGGTGTTCCTTAAAAGTCAGTTACAGTAACTAAAAGTTTAAAGGAACTATTTTCTCCTGTGGATTAATACACATTTGTTTGTGTAGTGTATATGTCAGCAGGACAGTGTACGGGAGATTGATTTAAATCAAACTACATCGCCCATGGTCATTTTAATGAAGGGTTATTGTGACAAATGTAAGAAATGTTTATGGTTTATATGATACAGTGTGTCCCTCTCTCCCCTGGTTTAACTTGTCTCCTCCCACTAGGCACTCATCAGGTGTGCTGTTGAATACAGGTGAGGAGGGGGGGCGTGGCCCTGGGGAAGGGAGAGGGAAATGTTGTATGGAGTTTGTTGAGAGCCAGAGGAAAGCCTGGCAGCGGGTGTTTCTCAATGTCAAGGAAGGATCCTTCAGAGCCACTATTTCAAGGATGCTACGTCATCGAATCCCGCCGAAGGACTGTTCCAATGTACAGGATCCTTGGAATTCTACCGAGGACTGAGTCCTTCGTTGCGTGAAATTTAGAGGATGCTTAAAAGCCCCACAATGCTTTGCGCACGGCACGGACCAATTTCCCAAATGCACACTTGCTAGCCTGTTCCAGTCTTCGTTCTTCGAATGCCAGGAAGGATTCTTGCCTAGCCTCTGAAGGACCTGACTCGGAGGGACATGTCCTCCCAAGGAAGCGTCCTCGACATTGAGAAACCCCCAGCTACTAAAGGGAAGAGAGGAGACCAGAAAGGCGGAGCATGCCAATCCAGAGCTGGAGTTACTCTTTCCCTGCTCGTCGGCCGGTGAGTTGCTTCCTTTGTGGGTGTTTTTGTTCTTTTTTCTCAAAGGCCTTGTTTCCCTTGCATTATATTTTAGCTTTTTTGATTGATTGGACCTGTTTCTGTTTTTCCCTGGATTACTCAGCTACTTTAAGAAGACTGGTTGGACATTGGGAGATCATTGATGATTTAAAACTTGTCATGCAATTTTATGGATTATTTCTGCTGCTGCTACTGTTAATCTCACAAAGATCAAACATAATGTCAGCTGGTATTTCTGTCAGTGACTAAGTAGAGAACAAACTCAGCTTAAAAATCATTTATTGTGCCCCAGACATTACCATCAAGCCTCCTATCGGTTTCCGTGCTGTGTTTCTAGCTCATGAAAATTACAGTGATTTCAAAATGTCACACAGCAGGTTTCCATTTATGGCACTTGGACTGATTGACCCCTCGCGGCCCCTGGTGGGACCCCCTGCCACTTCACCCAAAAGTATTTTAAGGTATACAATGTCAGAAGGCTGCATGAAATATGAGTGCAATTTGTGACATCTAGTTTATTTGAAGTATGCCATTATGATGGAGAGCGATTTCCTAAATATCGCACTTTGCCGACCATTTACATGCACAAAAACCTATACAACACTACAGGAAAGGGAAAACCCCAACACGCATAAAGGGACCAATTTAATTCCAAAACACATGTGAATATCATATTCTTCCTTTACCAGAGTTACATTTCTTTAATATGATAAATATTATAACAAATAATTTCCCCCACAACCATTCCTCCTGCACTGGATATGGTTATTTATGATATAATGACAAAAGCTCACCAGCAGGAATGATCCCGAAGTGCATAGAACACGGTACCAACTCAGCATCCGGTTGGTTCGGATCCACGCCGTTGTCTGTTTGGGTCCTGCTGATTAATCCGTGCAGGATCTCACTGAACATCCCATCTCCACCCACACACACCACCCTGGGCAGACAAGTTATATCAGTATACACACGTTTAACATTAGTTCTGTGACACATTTGCTTTTTTATCATTGGAAAACTACTACTTTGCCAGAAAACCTTGACACTAATAACAGAAGGCTGCGAGTCTAACAGCGAAAAATCATTAAATTAATAGGAAAATCACACTGTGCCACCCAGCATTACACCTATTTTTTTTTTGTCTTTCCCAAAACCTTACAGAGATGGACCCAGACTTTTTATGAACTGCGGGGAAAAAAGCATAATGGACTCTAACTCTGAGCTCTGCGGGACTGAATATCTGATAAATAGTAGCTGTAGACAGCGGAGTAAAAACCTTTTATGTTATTGATGCACCTAATGTTCAGCTATCAGCTGCAATTTACTCTCACATGCTCCCTTTACTCACAGTCCTGAGCTGCAACATCATGTACAATTGTTAGAAATTGTTAATTATCCTCTACTCATTCCTCTCATGAAGTACCACAGGGATCCGTCCTGGGGGCTTTTCAAATCATAGAATATCTTTAAACAAAGTTTCAGAAATCTCTGTTTAATACATGCTGTTTTGAATGAACTTAATTGATAACCATGATGCTTAGGATAGATTCTATTCACTTAAGATATCCCCTGACTTTTCCCCCAGCACCTCAAGCAAGGAAACGTTTCAACTTCTCCTGTGAAATATCTTAACTTCTACAACACAATATTTTATACAGACTATTTATTTTACCCAGATTTCAAATCCTACAGATCCACTCACGATGACATGTGTGGTTTTGCAGGAAATGGCTAAAGAACCAATGAATGAAATGCCAATCATTTTGCATTCATGTTACCCACAGCATGGATTGTAATAATTTATTATATATGTACTTGAACTGTAAAGCCAAAACCAAAGTCAAAATAAAAACATGGCCAACAAGTTTGAAGGAATAAGTCGTAACGAAAGGATGAAAACTGTATCTCTTTGTTACAATACCAGCATGTTTACTCAAGCTTATAAACCAACTGTTTGCCAATCCTGATCTCGAGAGAGTCACAGTGATATAAGGTTACACAAGGTTACAGAAATCTAACTCTGGAAATGCAAGTCAACATGTGAGATCATCCAAATGAGTGTAGTTGAGTTGAGACGCACAAATGCACACGGGGCTGTGTATCAGTGATTACAATCTGACACGACAGATTGCAGCACAACAGAGCTTCATTACAAGCTCCTAAAAGGCGATAATTGATACCCAGCTCATGGGAGAGTCTCTCAAAAGCTCTATTGCAATATGAACAGACAGGAGTCAGCTCCATGTCACAGTGAAGAACCAGTGTTGAAATCAGCCACCTAGCTTGAGTACTCACCCGTCATATTTATCTAGATTGGCATCCGTTTTCAAGTGGTCCCTGGCATGATTGGCTCGCTCTGTAACTATGGAAACAAATTCAATGTGTTTGTCCTTAGATGCATAAGTGGGTCTTTTTTGACCCGGTGAGTTGGTTTTCTTGAAGTATCTTTTTAATTATATTTTTTTATCATTTGATATTCCATCTATTCCTCAAAAAACATGTTTTGGATATCATGCCATTCAAATGTTTACATTTTAAGAAATTGTAGTCTTTGTATTAATACCCCAAGCTTCCATAAGTGGGTCAAAAATGACCCGCATGCATTTTCTATGGAATCCTGTGGGAAAATGTTTTTTTTCAAAATGTAAAAAAAATGTTTAAAATTATAAATAGTGAAAAATGTAATATAAAATATTTCTAGTGTGAACCAAAATATAATACTAAATATTATACAAGTGATTTTTCTGGACCAAAATGACAAAAATGGCATAAAAACACATTATTTTAATACGGGTCCTTTTCGACCCACTTATGGAAGAGTGTAGGGTCCAGTCACTCGTGCATCTAAGGATTAATACAACTTCAATGAAAGGGGAATGTACAGACAAAGTAAGTCGATTTTGTGTGGCCTGACTTGTATTGAAATACCAGACACTGCATTTTTGAAACATGAATTAACTGGATAAGTCACAAAGATACATTTTCAGAAAAAGCAAAGATACAAAGTCACAAAACAGCCTCATTCAGCAATTGTATATCAGCCCGCAAAATAAGCCTTAGGCCGACAAAAACAACATTACAATCCGTTTTTCAGGCATGCAATATAAACACAAATACAGCTGCAATTCACAGCCGCTGTAGGAAACCCAGGGTGAATAGTATTCAGTCTGATGGACCATCAATAGCCAGACTATGTGAAGCAGTAGCAAACACTTTTTGAATAATAGATGTGTTTGGATACCCTTGCTTATCAACTATCACAGCTTCCATTAAGGCGCTGGCATGATTAATGGCACTAAAAAGGCAAATCATATCCTTGGAAGCGTCTTCGGTCCCTTCGAGAGGCCACAGTGGCAGTGGAGATCTATACGGCGGGCATCGAGACTGATTTTTTATTTAAATCTTAGGGAAAGCCAGTGATAGGGACCCACCAATCACGTCGGTTGAGATGCAGGCACGGCCAAAGAGTGGGGCCACCTTCTGCTCGTAAATACGCTTCCCACGCCGCTTTCCCCCGTACGGATTGATGTACACCAGAAGGCTCTTCGGTCGGTGGGCTGCAAAGTGAGGGAGGGGTGTGAGATATTCATTAAAAATGCTCAGTATTTACCTTTTTTACAAATGTGTAACTGACAGCAGCTTGATGTAGTTTTCATTAACCAGACACCTTTCCCAGAATGCTCTGTCAAACTGACTTATCCCCAAAACAAGCCGCTCACAAAATAAATGATGTGTCTACCCACTATGGGAGGAGTGTGAAGCAATTCAGAGGTGCTGCATCATTCGCTGATAAACCTACAAAGTGCTGCGATGGAGAATACTAAATGGCTTGTTTATGGCCGTTGAAGAAGACTGCGTTTAAGACAACTAACTGAGGTATGGCAGCTGCTCCAATTAATAATGAATCCATTGGGATCAAGAGTTAAATGAGCACAAAGAAATATAGAGCGCAATATTGTTTGGCAATAAGACAAAAGTTCCATTAGATTACATAAATGGATTGTCAATGGGTGATGTAAAGGTGTACTGTGGAGGAGACTAACACTATTGGACCACACTCAGGCTTCATCTACACAATGAATGTACCGGTAGTTAATTTTCTTGAATTGATTCATCACAAACAGGGCCAAGTTCGCCATTAAAAATGGTTTAAACCATCTTGCACTCGATCTCCACATGATAGTTACACACGAAAACCTCTGGCACACAATCGTGTATTACCTTGTTCCGTTAAAAGAAAGTTAAATTCCTTACCTCTTCCAAATAATTATGTTTAAAAAATGTGTTAACATATAGGACACTCTTTTAATGTTTGCATAACCACCATTTATATTTCATCAGGCTATCGGCTATCGCTATTTTCATTCTTTATGCCTCTGCCTGAGAGGTGCTGTCCAGAAAGAGAAATGCAGGTGGGCAACCTCTATTGAAATTTTTCCAAAGGGCTCTCCTGAGGGCATTTATACCACTGAAATGAATAAAATATTTGTTATGGATGGTAAAACTTAGCTTCTTTACAGTCCGGTTGAGGTGTAGAAGAACTAATTTAGCAATAAGTCTTGTCTTGAATGCTTTAATAAGCATCCTTTGAAGAATTTCAGTGTTTCCAAGGTTTTCCTTGGGCACTTCAGTAACTTATGTTACATCCTGTAAGGTGGTGTCTCACTGAAGTAGTCTATAAACCCCTCAGAATAAAGATTGTATTGCATGTCCGTTGTGCACAAACCTGACAGCTTCTGAAATTGCTTGAGAGATAAAAAGCCTGATCCTCACAGAACACCTGTCATCAACGTCTGACAGTCCAAACTCAGAACTCAAAACAGCAAGTAGCGATTTCTAAAACCATTAAAAACATTTACTTTTTCCAAATAACGTTACCAATGTGCTAATAGATAAGCTTTTCTTGCAGTTACATTGGCACTTTGGCTCGGTGTAGTGCAGCTTAATGACGTGTGTACTCATCTTTGTAATCTTCCAAGTACATACCAAGCCAAATTTCATTTACGTGGCATTTTTATGGCACGTAGTAAAGTGATTATGATTAAGTTCAGAGTACATTACCACATCTGCTAGAGAACACCATTTAACAGCACGTACTGAGTAATGCCAGTTGCTCATTGATAACTTTGATCCACTGCTCGCTGAGTGCCTGGTTGGCAGAGTGGAAAGTCACTTCACTGCAGCGCCACTGGTGCTGCCTTGTTCTTCTGACGTAGGAAACTGTAGAGGAACAAAACAGAAGGAAGATGTGAGAAAAACCAGGCAAAAAGATATGCCTTTTTTAAGGGTTGTCAGGGTTGAATGTAAAATGATAGCAATTACCGGAGACATTTCTTTTTTTTTTTGGACGTATATTTGTTTTTACTGTGTCTCCTTTTGTTATGTACAGTATGGCTTGTAACCATACAATAACTTAAGATAGGATAAGATAGGACCTTATTCATCCCGAAGGAAATTGTTGTACCAGAGTTACAAAAATAGCACATAGCATAATAATAAAACTGTACACTAAAAGTGCAGTAAAAAGGGCAATTAAATATCTACAGGAAACAAAGACGGTCACATCATTGATTTAAATATGAACAGTATTTAGTAGTGCAAAAAAACGTAGTGGCAGATACAGTACGTAGTTGCATGTAGAACATCATTAATAACAATGACATTGTCACGATTCTCATGTTATGTCACGTTTGTAGTTTTGTATGTTTGGGTTTATTTTGCTGTTCTGTTCTCCCTGTCATGTTTTCCTCCTTGTGTATTGTCTGGTCCCTCCCCCTGTGTTTTTCCTCCCTGTCGTTAGTTTCCCTGGTGTGTCTAGTTGTCTGATTGTGTTCACCTGTGGCCTTGTGTTTCTCCTCCCCTGCCCGGCTGTTTCTCGTCCTGTGATTACCCCTCCCTGTATTTAGTCTTGTCTCTTCCTGTGTTCAGTGTTGGTTCGTCTTTTGTTTGTGACCGAGTTCACCGGTGAGTGTTCTGTTTTGTCCAATTTATTTTTATATCCTTGAAATAAAGGTGTTATAAGTTTATTCTGCATTTGGGTCCTGCCTGCTTCACTCTACCGTAACAGATATTGCACATGTTGTATAGGAGCAAGTGTTTTGTAATGATGGTAATGATATTTATATTGCACATAGTGTTGGTGTGGAAGTTCTCAGTTCCCTTTACTGAAGGGTGAAGTTATAAAATGCTATTTAAAGAGAATTTAGGTCTAGTGTGCCAATCTGTCTGTTGCAGAGATTGATCTGTCGACCTTTCTGTCGGTCCATAACCACTTACCAACACACTATACTTTCAATTTTTTGGACGAGGAATAGAAAAAAGGAGTACCAACAGAAGAAAGATGGTTTCACCAAAACAAGGTCCTGATCCTTACAGCAGGTGTGTTTACATCAGCAGAGAGCCAACATGCTGTGTTCAGACTAGACTCAGTGCCCTCTGGTTTTGCGATTGTGCAGACCTGGCTAGAGAATGAACCCTAGTTTTATCCTTACAAAACAGGTCAATGTGATGATGTGTGAGTGAGACATGAAGAAGTCAGTTAAGTTAAACAGGGCTCAGTGGGTATTCAGACAAAAAATAGAGTCGTATAATATCCAGCTAGGAACATTACTGAAATATTTACATTAAGGAGCGGAAAATCACTCGCTAAGCACTTTGACGGCGAATTCACTCGCTTAGCATTTCAAAGTCAAATTATCACACCAAGCATTCTTTTTATCAGATGGAAAAGTTAACTTTGAGTACTTCAGTGGAAATCTCTTAACGTACCTCGTTTCTAGCAGCGGGCAGCGGGGCAGGCGAGGAGACGTTTAGAGTGGGAGCAAAATCCTCCTTTTAATAAGTTACATAATCATGAGGAAAGTGATGGGGAGTGCCTTTGAAGCCAAGTTTCCACCGATCGTGGGAAAGCAGTCATGTCAGGCTCGACTCACTCTAATGCCAGTAAAAGCTCACATTAGGGAGGTAATTTTTAACATTTGGCTGTGATAAATAATGTAAATCCGATCTTGTTTGGATATAATCTAATGGCTCGAAATTATGCATTAGCCCATAAATCACTGGCATGCTGCCATCCTAGACCCACTGAGCTAAGCTGTGAGGGACTCTCTTGTTAATGCATTACTTTCAGACTGTGGAGCTGTCTACAGGCTTATTTCCAGTGTCATCACTTGTGATGGTGGAGCTGAACACAGGCTTTTGGCACCCTTTCCCACACTGTAACTGTGATGTGGCATTAACCTACTATAGTAAAGGGAAAGCGACACAACTGGCTTCAGGCATGAGGGTTCAGGCATCATATTGAGTATTTCATGAGCAATTACTGAGAAATGGGTCAACCCACAAAAAACCCTGGATCAAACACTTCCCATAATACCACTTGTCATTTTCCAAGACATGACAAAACTCCCCCGGGGCCATAGAAGAAATTATACAACTGCTTTCAGAGGCTGAGTATTACTCCCTGTGACAAGCAGATTGACTTTGACTATGTGTGGAATATCCCTTTTTAAGTGTGTATATCAGGGTTGGTTTTATACCTGTGAAAGCATGGGGATGCAGCTGGGAGGTCTGCTTTGCTTCCACCCGACTCCTTCTGGTCTCTTTTTTGTCTTGCTCATCATCTTTGGTGTGGACAGCCACTATCTCACACACTTGCAGAGCATGGATGTGTGCTGAAGAGACAGAAAGAAAAATACATTCAACTGCTTGATGCCCAACAAAATGTCTAATAATATATCGCTATTTGTCGTATTTGCAAACTATCATTCAGGTTTTTCAATACAATTAAAGCTGCAGAAATCGATATTTTTACATCAACAATGGGTCACAAAATTGTGTGTAGCCCAAAGTAAAACCACAAAGAATAATCTCCCAACTCTGCAGTTCCCCGCAGCTTTACGGAGCTTGTTTCAGATCATTGTTTTGGTTTTATGCCCCACAAATGTTTATCGTTTTGGTTCAGTCCCACCCAACTCGCCGGCCTGATTTCCAGATGTAGGAGGCAGCTGTTTTAGTGAATAAGTTCCAATAAACCCACTATATGATTTCTAAGACACAGAAAATAGCTAATAAAGTTGAATATTCAGCTGATGAGCCAGCTGGTGGAGACCAAAAACGGAGCAAAAAGTGAGACTAAGTATTGGACTTACATTCATCAGATAAATACTAATATGCTTTGTAAATGCTGGATGTGTAACTAAGCATCCAACAAGTAAGGAAATAAAAGAAAGATCTGGTTTCCCCTTTAAAATTATGCCCGCTTTGTCTCTTTGGTTACAAAAGATGACTTTAGAATAGCAGCCTGGCATTCATTTCACAAACAGTAAAATGAGTGGGAGCGTAACACAGACAAATCCCAAGGGAGGAGGTGGGTGTTTGGGAAGAAACTGCATCTTGTTGTTCTTTTTCCCCCCATGGGAAAAGGATTTAGGCTGCTAGTTTAAAATTACTTAGATGAAACTCTTGCATGCATTGTTCATTCACAGAGTTTGTCGGGTACGGCTCAATGTGGTACGTGCTGGCAGTGAAGAGATGGGTGGGTCAGTTGCCCTAAAAATCTGCCTAAAAAGGATTTAATAGGTATTCATTTACTGTGTTTGAAAGGCAGTTATTGGGAAAAGAAGGGGGATTGTTGAGAAATGGTTTCCTTTCACATCAATAATTGTAATTGAGGTGTTAGTACTGTATGAAAAATAGTGGTCAAGGGAAATTCAGATGAAGGCAATACATTCTTTTAAGAATCACTAACAACCCATTACATGGATGTAAAATGGTGGAAATCAATGCAAAGAATGTGATGAATGCATATTCTGAACTGGATCTCACAATGTGTCTTTCCCTTGTGAACCATTTTTATTTTTTTACATTACATGTCATTTGCTTTTATCCAAAGCGACTTACATACATTCAGTACTGTGGAAAATCCCCACAGGAGCAATTTGGGGTGAAGTGTCTTGCCCAGGGACACAACGACATGCTGACTGCAGTGGGACTCGAACTTGCAATCCAGCACACTACCCACTGAGCCACAGCCTCCCCATTTTTAAATCCAGATATCAATACATCTATACTAGAAAATGACAGTATTACTTGTGATGAGTTTAACTGACCTCTTCAACTGCATCACATACTGTACAGGCATTACCTCCCGCAAATGTATTCAGCTGATATGGGGGAATGGATGGGAGGGAGCCATGACATATTATTTATTTCCTGGGGGAATAGGATTTCATTTCTCTCTCAAATAAAGACGATGTGCCATGCAGGCATGAATAACTTTATGGCCATCAATATTCACACTTTGACAAATAGGAAGAGTTATGGCCGTACTGGTAATAGCTTTATTTCAGAAGAAATGAGAACAAGGAGTTTTATTCCAGTTGCAGTGACTGACATAACTGAGACACTTTTACCATTAGTTCAGTTTCTCCCCCCCCCACCTGAAACACCTCCATTGGACTCTTTTGTTTACTTTAACATATAGACATCACTATATGACACTCTTTCTTCTATTGGTTAACGTTCTAACACATTGTACATGATAGACGTACAATGTCGACAGGCGGGACATCCCTAAGCGGATGACCAATCACAACAGAGCCGGCCAGCTAACCAATCAGAGCAGACTGGGCTCTGGTTTCAGACAGAGGGAGAAAAGAGGCGCTGCAACACAGGCAGTGTGCGAAAAATGAAGACCTTTTTGAACACTAAAGCATGGAAACATGTCACAGTTGAGGCACAAAATACAAATATCTCCCTGAAAATGATCATAATAGGTCCTCTTTTTCTCTTCTCCTTGGGTAGCCCTCTATATAAGGCCTTTTCACAGCAGATATTTTGACTTTTCATATTAGAAAAACAAGTGGGATACTAATGACAGAAGTGTCACAGTAAGCCATGTCAGTGTGACAATGAGTCAGCATGCACAATAGCAGGACCCTTAGAATGAAGTGGCTTAATGGAAGTCAAACACCATCATTTACTTTTTGTTGACAGTTACTTGAAACATTAAAATGTCTTCTGTTATAAAGTCATACAATGTCTCATTATTGACAATGGGATTAAGGTGTATATGTGACACTAAGTCTTACCAAACTGATTATTTTTAATGTCTAGACATCTCCCAACACGTGCCTGAGAATCTGGAAAGAAAAATCCATCAGTGCGATAGTCGAGGTAACTTTTACTTTTGTTGTGCAAATGGTTTGACTTATCATTGAGATGTGCTGACAGTGTATTGAGAATGATGTGCCAATGCCAAAAATCATTCCATGCAAGGATGCGCATTTAAGAAAAGCTGATTTTATTTGGTAAAATGTTACTTTTTGATGGTTAAAAATACTGCACATCAGGGATGAACTAATGATTTTTTTTGATTTATATTTGAGATAATTCAACATTAAATCATTTTTGCTGTTTGTTTGACATCCAAGCACCAAACCTGTACCGGATTTCTGCAAAACCATCCAGTGGAATACATTAGAATATGTTATCTCCTGTCTTACATTTACATTTTTGTTACTTTAAGCTCCCTTGGCTTAAGGTGAAATGAAAAATGCATGAACTCTTTTCTGTGTTGGCCTGCTGGGCAAATCAACTTCTGTCAAAGAAACAAGCTAACATTCATCATTGAGTCAGAACAGGCGGTATCTCTCTCTCTCTCTCTCTCTCTGGTCTTTTGTACAACTTGGTTAAAATAACCCCAGGAGCAAGCACAAAGTCAACAATCCCAGTGAACTGTGTTAGGGAAGTAACTGGAAACAATAGCTGACATTCCCACATTCTAAGACTGCTCCAGTAACCCTGCCACACACACACACACACACACACACACACTGAACACACACCCACTCACAAATTCCCTACTTTGTCGCAGTCCCTAAACTACATGCTAAGCCCTCGGCCATTCAAGGCAGATCCTCTCTGCTCTGCTCTGACATACTTTTGCTCTTTGTGCTCGAAAAGAATCTTAGCACAGGCAGTAAGCCAGTGTACGCTTCCCATTCATGCCACAGGGCTCAGAGTGTACTGTGAGGTCTGCTACCTGCAAAAAAATCTGCTATTCAGGAATTGGGAGGCAGGAAAGTTTTTTTTTACTAGCTCTGCACTTGGATGGGACAATGAGGTTAAAAGGACATGCCGTTACATCTCCGAGAGACACATCACAAATACTCAGACATCAGTGCAACCTAGATATATAGCTAATATTAATATTTTCACTTCAACAATAGTCAAGGAAGTGTTGAGTGACCTGGAGCGCTACGCTTTGTGTTTGTGCTATTGACATTACAGTACAGTACAGTACAGTAAACACTTAAGGCTGCCAAGTGAAATTGATATCAATGTTTTCAAGTTAAACACTTTTAAACTATGCGAGTCATGAAAAAATAATACTTTTATCTCCTGACGTGTCAAAGGTAATGATGACTTCATGATTAATAAGATTAAAGTCCCTGAGGCATGGCAAAAAGAAAACACAAAGTTACTTCTGCTTGGGCCCAATAATTCTAACATTAATTATAAATATTTAGTCAAATTGACTGGAGGATTAGCCTTATATGATAGCTAGCTTTTTACCTACATATAATACTTGTGGGGAAAATCTAACTTTAAATCAATAGTTTAACAAAATGTACTTTCTTTCTTGTTGAGAAATGGTTAATACGTAGCTAAAGCCGGTAGCTGGTTAGCTTAGTTTATCCTAGCATAAAGTGTAGAGGGGGAAAAGCTAGACTTGCACTGTCCTAAAGAACAATCCAGCATACAATAAAGTCACTGCATCTAGCCAATAAATAGTCCCACAACTAATACCACAATATGTTATTTGTTCACAACAGATTTTACCCAACGACAATGTAAAACAACCTGTGAAGTTTTTAATTCAGGCTTCAGGATCCACACATGAAAGGTTCAAGTAGACTGCCTTGGAAATAGGGCCATGTTCAAAGAGACAATAGCATGGGATGAAAACATGGAGCAGCATAGAGGATGATTCCCTAACCCTGACATGGGCAACTATCAATGAGCAAGACATTGCCACATCCTGGCAGTGGCGGTGCTTCGCTCTGCCCATAATGTGAATGTAATCCCTAACTCTGGCATTGTTAGCGCCTTTCTCCAGTGAGCCAGAAACATCCAAGTCCTCGGGGTCCAGGGTGCTACTGGTTTCTATTCTAACCACATGAGATGGATTAACACCTGCACTGGTGTAATCTGCTAAAGGGCCAGAAGCAGATTTTTACACAATTGGTGAATTTGCTCTTCACATGACTTTATGCATTGGTGGCTCCTAACTGAATGCAGCTTCTCATGTTGAGTAGGTCTACAGATTATGACCAGTTTAACCAAGGAATTAGTGTTATTCATACTCAGAAGCCTATAGGTTAAATGATACAGAAATTCACAAGAAAACATAATAAACTATAACAATCCAACTTAACGCTGCAAGAGATAACAAATAAAAAAATCAATGTGTCGTCTCCATTCAATCAATGACTGTATCATCGAGCTGCCAAATATTGAAGAGCCTGCCTTTAACGCAAAGCACTTACCAGTGTATTGGTATTATTTCATATTATGAGAAGAACACATTTGTAAAGTTTAAAATCAGTAAAGTGGCCCTTTTTAACTACCTAAAGGGCTTAACATCAGCAGTACTCAGAGGATTGAGAGCCACTGGACTTGGCAATAATTGTACCCTTTAACAAAGGAACAAAGAGGATCTTTCAGTTAATGAAATGGGGCCAAAGAGGTCAGTTAAATGCAGCTCTTTGATTACATTGAAAAAAACGTTTGCCCTTTTAATTACTATTGTAACCCAGCCTTTGTGTGTTCTAGCCAAAAGCAGCACTGCTGGTGATTGAAGGTCAGTCTGTATGACGGTGGGTTAGCATCTTTTTCCTGTGACCATGGATGAGAAACCTTAATTGACTTACAGTACCTTTAAGGGAAAATTCACCCACAAAATACCATTGCCAAATGTTGGAAATGTCTGCCTTCTCGAGAATAAGATGGCACTTGAGTTGTGGTATTAAATCATTCAAACAATGTATTTATCTAAGAATTATGACCCGGTTTTTGTGAACAATTTCACATGGGAACCGTATCACTGCCGTGCGAAAGATAGAAATGATGAGTCAAATCACATAGGCTTATGTATTCTAGATTTTGGCTTGAACTGTCCCTTTTAATGTTTGTACCAGTTTAGTGTGAATTTAGAGACTACTTTGTAACTGTATTAACAAGTGCCTGCAATTATTAAGGTGCAACCTGTGAAGACTCTATTGGATTGGTGATCTTGCTAACCCCTAAACATATTAGTTTCCTTAACATGCCTTAACATAACGTCAGTAAATGCACACACCTGATTGCTGACTTTCTCTCATCAGCCCAAAATAAGGATGTGTATGTTGATTTGGAGGTGATCTTACAGGATTTTTAACTCAGTATATCCGATGCATTCACGTATGTGTGCACAAGAGATTTTGTGTCTGCTTGTGTATTATGATATCTGTGACAGCGCAGTGCCTGTCCTCACTTACCTTAAGTCCTCTGACAACAACAAGCTGTCAACATATTCATATTCTGCTGTTGTTCTCTGCACCCCTCCCCTTACACACTGGATCAGTGTGTAATCCCTTTATTGTTACTGAGGTTTGGCATGCGCACAAGCCAGCGCCAGCTTAAGTAAATGCTTGCGTTTTTAGGTGTCCTCACACTATGTATGCAGTTTTTTATGTCATTTCTGTTTTTACATGTTGCATTTCAAGAGACATGCAACACGCGTGCAAGAGTGGGGAAAATATTTTTGAGGACTGTCTATGTTGTCCGGTGATGCAACATGTTCTTCCCCCCATGCTGAATAATAGCTACAAATGGGTATGCAAGTGTTTTTCTGCAATATAATTAATTAATTATTATTGAAAAAGACAGATGTCCTACTTTGCAAACGACAGCACTGTACTCTCATACATCCTCACCATCCAGAACATTGATTCATTGTGTAATTGGAAATACAAGTCCAACCTTTCACTCGTATTGACCCCAGCTGCAGGTAAATAAATACAATCTATTTAATGAAAGCTGCTTTATTGCTTCCAGTAATGCAGTATAAACCATAGCGTCCCCAGTCTCCAGCTGTTGTTTTCTGGCAGTGTTTATTTCTCTGTATCTCTCTCCATTCCTCCCTCTGCAGCTGTCTCTCAATGTACAGACAGGGCTGTGCATTGAGCACCCACTTTAGATTACAAAGCACAGATCTTCCTGCGCACACATGGTAGTTAGCTGTCAAACAAGACGTGGATTTCTCCAAGGAACAATGGGTTTGTTAAACCAAGGCTAAGGCAAACAGATGGAAAAGAAAGGACAGCAGAGGTGTAAAAGTACAACAGGAGAGCAGTCACTAGGGGTGCAATTGTACTGCTAGATCGCTAATGTACATATGCTTAAAGCACCGCTCAATACGTGCTGTTTCTTTCTATATGAAATGGAAAGATACTTTTTTGCAACCTAAGCTTTCTGTGACAAAGATAAAACTTCAGATCAGGCTGATATATTTTAGCCAATATTGAATAAATAGCTTTAAAGTTGTGCACAGACATTCATGTTTCCCTGAGCAAGAATCCTAATGACCTTTGTGATGCCCTCGCTTTTTCACCAGTGTTTGCCATAGGGTCAAAAATATTTAATTATCCAGTTAAATATCTTAACCACTACTCAATGGATTGGCCCTAATTTATGGACATTCACGGTTCCCAGAAGATGGATCCCAGTGATTATAGAGGCCATCTGGTTTCTCCTCTAAGACTTGTAGTTTAGAGTGAGAGCTTTTGACAATCATAGATGGATTTGACTCAAATTTGAAACAAACATGATTCTTTCCTACAGGATAAACTGTACATTTTTTAATTGCATACTACTTCCCGCAAATCTATTGACATTGTCATTAGCCTCAGCTGTACTTTGTGTCAAGTGTTAATAAGCAAATGTTAGGATGTAAACATGCTAAAACCAGATGGTGATAGTGGTGATTGACATTAGTAATAATGGTGGCAATATGTTTAACAACATGATAGCATAGTCGTGTGAAATGCTAATATTAGCGTGAAGGTCAAAGTCGAACTAAAGTGTGACGGAGATACTAGCATGGCTTTAGTCTCCTTTTCCAACATTTTAGGACTTACCGTAGTCTTCTGCAGTTTTCATAGGTGGATTTTGATATGTGATTTGGTAACAGAGGAAATCTTGTGCTGCTGATACAATATTAAAGCCTATCTTGCAACGTTTCCTGTATTGCTATAAATGAATCCCAGACTGTAACACGTTGGATCTGTATCCAGCTTTGTCATATAGGAAAGGAAATATCTAAACCCCCTCTGGCAAAGGCAGATATCCAGGCTTAGAGGGCCTGAGGAAGTACTGCTTGCTAAGCATAGTGATTTGCAAAGGGGAGATGCTCTCTAGAGCATATGCAGTGATTTAGTCTAGATTTTCCTCCAAGATGGGAGCATGCATTGTATACTGTAGGAGGAGTGACTCAGGCATAACGTGGACATAGGATTTACTCCAGTCTCAGAGGCAATGCCATCTCAGTGATTGGATTTTGTTTGTGTGTGAGAGTGAATCTGTGTGGAAACAACATTCCTGGCTAGGATACCAATGCCTCGGTATATCTACTCAGGACATCTGACTGACAGATGCTCTGATTCGACCAAATCCACTTAAATGTCAAGAGGTAACATCCCTTAATGTTGTATAGAAAAGTATGAAGACCAGAGAGGTGCTCATATCAATTTATACTGGCATTTATGGCATTTGGGTGTCAAGTTCGATGTTATGTGGAAAAAATTGGCAGACACGAGCAAGACGAAGAGTTGTCAAATTTGAGTCATTCTGAATGTATTTCTATCAGCTAAATACATTTTTACTTAATAATCAAATTACGCTAATGGTACGGAATTATTTCTTAACTTTTTTCTTTTATATTTTCTCACTTTTCTTTCATAAGTGAAAAAAACTAGTACATATACCCTTATATTGCATTATTGATTTGCTGGTGGACTGAACCTGTGACCTAACAACCCTGAGAATTCTAGAAAAAGAGTCTCAATGACATTTCCTTAATTGTCTAGTTGCAACATTTAGGAGTTTCAAATGTATATTAAACAAACAGCGCAAAAACTACACAGAAAGAAAAGTGTGGAAATCTAACCAACAACATTGTGAAGTCAAGAACAATTGTATTTCATTTTTTGGGTAGGTGCATGCAAATATGTTTACTTTATATTGCAGTCACAAACATCTATGTCTACCATACTCACTGATTAACTTGATTATAGTGCCTACTAATGATAACCACAACCCTACTCAAAGACTATGTCCATAAAGATACAAATAATATGCAGCTTGAATTAGCAACCAGTCATTTGATTACCTCTCAAAGAAAGTGCCTCCATGGTGTTTGACGTTGGGCTTATCCATAGCGTATCCATTACTGGCAAAGTCCCCTCGTTTGATTCCTAACTCCTGGGTAAACACTTGCCACAGCTATCATTGGTGTAGCTGTGTTGAACATTGACTCAATAAATGGATGTCTTTATGGCAGGTTATTATAGGGCGCTTGATACCACTTTGAGGGAGGTCAATGGCCAGGTTTAAACTGAAGTGTGCCGTGCCAGCTGTAATAACTTCACTCTATATGGTACAGTAATTGCAGACCAGGGAACTCATCGAGATGAACAAACATTAGCCTCAGGAGGTGAAAAGGACATCTGGATTAAGTGAAATTTGTCTGATGCAAAAGGTGGAATGGTGCAACATTTCCAGGACGGGTTGAGAACCACAGTTACAGAATAGAGATGATTTAAGGTGCAGGCCATTACTCCAGTGCATGCCGGGACTCCAGCTCACTGCAACCACACTAGCACTTAAGGGTGTGTAGTATTTATGTTCTTAGGAACCACTAATCTCAGACACTAATTTAATAAATAAACATAAAAATGTAACAAATGTGTTGCTAGTTAACAAATCTGCTATGTGTACATTTGTTGAAATCACCTATGAGAACAGTCACAAGCTGAAACACAACTTATTTTCCTGTTCTTTTGAATGGATGTCCTTTTATTTTTATTTTAGGTATATTATACCCCAACATGCACGGTATGTTTAAACCACATTCTGCCTCTTTTGGCATCAACTTTAAGTGACCAAGTTAAAAAAGCTAAATGTTTTGGCTAGGCATTAAAAAGAGGACATTTTGTAGATTTTCTAAAAGGTCACTTGGACAGAAATCTTCTTTCATCAATCTAGTTAACCATGACTAGTATTTGCTTGTAAGAAACAAGGGCCTCCTTATTATTTATGACTGAAAACCCACAGAACTACAGTACTTTCATGACCTGACTGCTGCTCCACAATGATCCTGATAAGAAAACAGCTGCTATACTTTCTTTTTGAATTGGTGACAATGTTTAACTAAGACAAATTATTTATATGCTCAGGCAAATGATGTATAGGAGGGATTGATACACTTAAATACAACTTAACGACATTGTAAAAACATGTTTTATGTCCAAAATGCTTTATTGCGTATAATTATTACAAAGGTATAAACTAATTCACTTCTATGTTGTTCTTACCTGTTTCAGCACTGTTGCTGATGCCAGAGCTTCGTTTTCGGATCTTCTCAGTTTCCTTCCAAGCCAAAACACTGCGGTTTAAAGTAACTTCTACCTGTCTATGCTTGTGAAAAAGCTTCGAAAACAGTAGTCTGTCTTGAGTCTCCATAATATCGCTTAAACGTGTCATTAGTTACGCTCTCGTCCGATGATATACCATGTTAACTTTGTTACAGCCTGTCCACAGACCGCTGCTCGGAGCCGGATAGTGTTGAGTCAAGTGCGGCTCGGCCCGTAAGAAGGGTTTTAAGAGAAAGATCGCTTATGAGCAAGATGAATCACTCGATTGCAAAAGGTGAAACTGGCCTACTTTCCGTACCGCTTTCCTGGGCCATCAGGCTGATAAACAAACAGTCCAAAGTGCAATTACTCTTTTAAATACCTATCTCTTCTGTACTTTTAATGCACTTTACAGCTTTGTATGTCATTGCTCTTAATCATGTATTACCTTCTGTATGATTGTGTATGTTTGTCTGCCCTACTGGCGTGTTTTTCGGTGAAAGGGAAGCCCTCCAAAAATCTTGTTGTTTCTTTTGTATAATGACAATAAAGGCTTTGTAAACTTTCTGACAAATATACAATAACATAATGCATGATATTGCTTGCATCTATGTAGTATGTCAGACCTGCATTATGCAACTTATGTTTGCCTTAAAAGGAAATGCGTTTGTTTTAATTTCAACCCACCTTTCATACAGATTTGCAGTGAGCAAGATTAGACAGAAATACATAATCTGATATAAGGAGGAGCAAGAAGATTTAAAGCTTTACAAAAGTTAATATCAAAAAAGGAAATGTTATAGTCCTATAGGCCTATGTAAAAAAGGGAATAGAGTTTAAATGGACTCTTAATTAAAAAATTCAACAACAAATTACATTTTCATTGAGACTTCAAGTATTTTCTTTAATATTTCTCAATAACACATTGATTCCTTGATCCGCACTGCCTGATACGACTACATCTAACTTTCTGCTGTGTAATAATAGCATTGGAATTATTTACACAACTAATAAGTAAATATAGTAAGAGTTTAAGTTATTTTCTTTCCTTTAAAAAAACAATGAAATAACACCTCCTCTTAAATTATTTAACAAAAAGAATTCTGCAAAAATTAGACCACTTTTCAACTAACCCCAACACCCCAACAGTTTACTTAAAGTTTGCAGTACCGCGAAAAAGTGTCAGAGTGAGAGCTCCTACATTTAATCCTGTGTGCTTCTACACTGTGGGACACTGAATCAGCACATTGCGTAAACATAAGCTCTCCGAATCATGACTCAAAGCAGGAAGGTGATTTCATACTCTTCAGACAGGGATAAGGCAAACACCAGCCTTTACACAAGTGATAGTTAAACTGCGTTGATGTGGGTTTGCCCTACACAGCAACTTTCTTATTCTATTAGCTGAGTTGGAACTGAGCTGATTAAAGTTGGTCTCTCTTTTGGGTGACTGTGTGTGTAATGGAGGGTGAGAGAAATTAATAAGAATGTAATTAGAGGAGTTATTGCCCAACAAATTGTATGCTGCTATCTGCTACTTGTATTGAATGTATAATGCATGTTTATGTTGAGCCCAAATGAGAAATGCCCAGACAAATATACTGAGCCATCTAGTGAACGCTGGAGTCATAGTGTAGGCTTAAAACGTTTACACACTTTTATCTCAAGCCTTTAATTTACTGCATATCTACAGCAGATATACATGACCTAACATCCAATACTGCCCTCATTGTTACAAGATCCCCATTATCTGAACAGGGTAGGGTGCAAGTTCAATTTTAGGATCAGTTTTAGATGATAAATAATACAGGTACATGTTAAAATATGTCCTATCTGTCCATGATAGATTCAAAAAAGTATTTGATTCAACAATAAATAGCATAAGAGCCTATGCAATCGCCCATAACAGTTAGATCCATTGATATACTTTCAGAAACAAATCTAGAAACACCACAGCTTTCAAACTTGTGTTTGAATCATGATGTGTCAACACTTGTACTGTAGGCCTATACAAACAATTTCTAACAATAGTGCAACTGGGTAAACAATAAAAACACCAGTTTATCCTGTACATATGAACTGCAATGGAAATAGTAGTGTTAAATGATAAGCATTTTTATCTCCCTGCTTGTTGTCCTGATGCTGGTGGTCTCCCTTTTGATTGACACACACACGGATTGTGGTTTCTGTCAACAGAAGAAAAGACAGATGATCACGATGACGTCGCCAGTTTCCCATGCCACCTCACAGCGGATCTCACTTATGATTCGCTCACAGGGAGGAAGTGTCGCTCCAGCCAATTGCAGCAGCGCTTGCTTGCCGATTAGGCACTATCAACATGGCAGCTTTCTGAGTTTTGGAGGAGGGTACCTGGTGTAAATAAACGAATTTCACGTCTTAGAGATAACGACAGCGTTCGTGTGTTTGTGTCTAGGACTGGTTGGGCAATAGAGGGAAAATGTCGACTGACGCAAATAAAAAACAGTTCTGGAAAAGAAACGCAGCGAAGGTTCCTGGCAGGTGAGTGACGTGTTCCCTCCTGTCGGCTAGCTTAGCCTAGCTAGCCTTACTCAACTGACGCTGCACTGTTGAGCTTAAAACGCAACTTTCACTTTCACTGACGGCCCTGCAGTACTGCACAATGTTTGCAAATATCACCTCTTGCAACGTCCCATTGTCTGTGGTAAAGTCTTAGAGACACAGTTTACCCCTTCCTGCCTTCTGCTAGCTGGCTAGGAGCTAGTTTGCTAACATCGGCTAACAGTTCAGCAATTTAATCAAACCGCAGTCACCTATTTGTAACTAATGATACAGTAACAATTTTATATCAATGAGAAGCTATGGGCTTACAGCAATTCAAAGTCATTTTCGTTACACTTAGTTGCGGTATTATAGTATCAACTGTCATTGTTGTTGGTAATAAGAAGCTAACATGGCTATAGCTTGACAGCCAGTTATGAATTAGCTCATTCATTTACATGCTTTCTTCTCTACTTCCTCAGCATTCAACATGTGTATGGTGCACAACACCCACCTTTCGACCCGCTCCTTCATGCTAAGTAAGTTAAATGTACTTTGTTATTGTAGCTAAGTGCCCTGTGATGTTAGTTTGGAAAGATGTTATACTTAAGTTTCTGTGTTGATGCTAACACTTTGCCTTTGTTGCTAAACTACTTGAAATCCTAGCTAAAGTTGACATCATTTGCTTCCGCATTTGTATCTTTTTAACAATGATATAAAGTATTTTTTTTGCATGAAACACTGTTTGTACGCCCTGCAGTAAACGGACACACTGTACATATGTGTTTAAGTAGTTTTATTGTTTTTTTTCCTTCCATTTTTGTGTTTTGCTTTTCTATTCTATATTTATGTTCTTCACTTTTTCTCTTTTTTATTTCCTCTTGTATTTATTGTAAGCATCAAATCACCAAATTCCTTGTAAACGTACTGGGCAACAAACCTCATCTGGGTTCAAATCCTCACTAAAACTGTCTTCCCTTCAGATCATTCTTCATTAATCACATGATGGTTTATGAAAAACATCACATTTATTATTGCCTTTATGACCAACACTAATGCCCCATTATAGACTGTTATACAAGACCTTTAAGGAAGTTGGTCCCTTGGTAAAAAACAGTACACAGAAGCACAAGTCAGACATACTGGTTTGAAGATCTTATAGCTTTCTTTACTTTTATTTGAACAGTAAAGGGTGTATTGAAAGAAGTATTATTGTCGGTGCTGCTTTTTGGATCTCTTTCTGTTTTCCTCAGAGCTTCCAACAAAACAGGAAACACTGCACAACACATTTTCTGCCCATTGATTTCTTATGAACTTGAAGTTCACTATACAACATTGTTAGAAACATGGCTGCTGTACCAAAGACCTACAAAAGCCCCATCTCATTGCTATTAAAAAGTTAGAGGAAAACACTGGGTAGAATTTAATAATTACGTACTGATGTAGCTTAATAATAGTAATAGCTTTTTTCCTCACTGAGTTGCAAGCTATTATTCTGAGTTGCCTTCTCAGCCAAATGCTTCATGGTAGGCAGTGATGCTGTGTGCACATCTTGGGCTTTTATTTTGAAAGAGAACATGGGACCACTGGTAGACTGAACTGCATCCTGTAGGAAGTGAAGCAACACTTATAGGGAACCAAGATAAAAGCCTATGATATAATTTATCATCTCATTGTGCAATCAACATATACTTCATAAAAATGTTGAGTGAAAATTACAATGAAACAGTGTTTTCTATGGACACCAAACAAGACAACAAGCTGTATAGCTTAGCTACCTAGCCTCTCACAGAAAATAGGAAAATGCTGAGTCATGATTGTTACTGTTAAACATGTCATACTGTCATACATTGAAATCAGGATTGTGGGAGTGTTTGTTTTGTAATTTGACAGCTGACAAAGAAAGCAGCTATGAAAACATGAACTGGAGCCTAGCAATAATTCCATGCATGTTCAAATGTGTAAAACATATATAAATCGGGTCTTGCAATATAATTTGAGTGATCTATCGTTCGAATGTATGATCTGTCCTATTATGCTGCGTCTGTGGAAGTGGAGTTACCAGACAGACTAGTTGCTTTCACTTTTAATTTGAATTTATTAGAAGTGTATTTGATTATGTTACATAATGTATAGATCTAGCATTTCAAATACAAGTTGGAAGGATTCGTATTTCTGGACTACTGGGTACCAGCACAGGGCTAGGGTATGTGAAAATATGGGAGGGGATGCATGTCTGATTTATTATCATAATTTACTTCTGCATTGCAACATTGTTTAACCTTTCCTTTTTCACTTGCACACAAAGACTGACACAGATAGAAAAACATCCTCTTATTCTGTTAACATAAATGTACTTCTTCTGACTGATGTGTTTGAATTCAATGTGCTTGTTTTTGCTCAGCGTAAAATATCAGAGACTTTCTTTCAAATGATGACGGAAGAAAGCTATACTAGACAAGTCTTTATATATAAATGGTTAACCATGTCTTTGAAATAAATCACAGTCCCCATTTCCCTCTCCAGCCTTGTTCCAGGCTGAATGTAATGCTGCTCTTGAAGCACAAAGACAGCAACTCAGTGAATGTTGTCTTTTGAACCACATTGATTTTTAGGTGTCGGATGTGCTTTTAATTCTAGTTTTTAATATTAATATTGTGTAAATAGAGGTGGTGACAGACTCACTTCATTGTGAGTCTTCTAGGTTTTGCTGATAATTATTTCAAATGCCATTGTGTGTTTTGTGTCAAAATAATTAACTTCTCATATCTGTCTTTTCCCCCCACTTATCTCCCTCCTTTTTCCTTCCACTTACTGCCTCTTTCCCACCTCTGTTTCCTTTCTTACACCTTTTCCCTCAATTTCTTTAATCTTATCCTCCGACCCTTATCTTCTCTCTTTTCATTGTCCTGTATCTGCCGTGCAGCCTGATTAAAGCTGGCAACAAGCCTCCTCCGGCCACGCCAGGCAAACCCAAGAAGGCTACCACGTTCCAGGAGTTTGAGAGCATCACAAGCGACGCCTGGGATGTCGGGGATGATGATGACGAGTTGCTGGCCATGGCTGCACAGAACCTTAATATTGAGGTTGTCATGGAGACAGCCAATAAGGTGAACAACTAGATGCAGTCCTCTCAAAAATGTGTTTTTCTTATGTTTGTATCCTCAAAAGTCTCAGACCTTGACTATACTAGAGGGGTGATTCCACATTCCTTTGATGAAGGGGAAGATGTGTGTGCACTTTGCAAAAATCTGAGATTTCAAATGTACCCCAGGTAAACTAAATTAGCTATGTTATGAATATGAGACAGCAAAGTGCAGTCGAGGACGCAGGGAGACGGTCTTAAAAACACCTCAAACACGGTGACCCTATCATAGATAGTGGGAGTTAGCTGTAAGATATTGTGAATGTTTTGACAGAAAAAAAGGGAATTTGCAATTTTTCGGATGTAAACCAAGTTTATTGTATGTTTTAGAAAAGTAACGCTGTGTCAGCCCCTTTTATATATACAGTCTATGGTCAGCCCCTGCCAGTTACAAGCTACCAAACAAAATAAACAATTAAGTGATGCTCAATACATTTACTGTTACGTTCGCTAATTCCCAATTTCTTGGTAAAAAAGAAAACTCAAACATGTCTGATTCTTGCTTTTTTTTACGGAGGAAATATACAAGGCACCGAAATGTATCCCTGCGGAGCTCCGAATTTCTAATTTAGGGCAAATGGGTAGTTTGGAGAAAGCACTACAATACATTTAAGATTGCTTCAGGTTATTTTAAAGTTGTTTTTCTACTTAAGATAGGGCAGTTAAACAATGGCTCACCCAATATATCTGGATCTGATCTGGATAAAAATGTCACCTTTGACCCGCTGATCATAAATAATTATGACATTTACAGAATCTCAAATTGCTAATTTATTTAACAGATTACAGAGAAATTCACACTTTTGTTATATTTTATACAGAGTTTCCGTTGTCCTGACTCCAGCGGTACATTTCTGTTTTCCATCAACTGAACAGGTCATCGAGAATCACAGCAAACAGCAAGAAAGACAGAGGCAGGATGACGAGACAGAGCTAGAACAAAGAGAAGAGGACCCACAGGAGGATGTGGCAGAGGACGAGGAGGAGGACGAAGAAGAGGAGGAGGACAGCCGGGTGGGGGAAGGAGACGTGACCAGCCCAGAGGTCTCGTTTGCCTCCCAGAGCAGCCCTTACACTGATGGCCGCCTTGTAAAGTCCCAAAGCGAAGCTCCAATTGGGTCACCTAAAGGTTAGTGAGCACCATTTCTCAGTGTCCAAAAAGTTTTCAGGCTCACCTGCACACTAAAAGCCACATTGCTTTTACTTTTAGAGCACATTCTTAAACCCTTTTATAACAGAAACATGGTTTTCAGAATGTTTTCAAGAATCTACATTTGAGTTTGGTTATTAATCTTTTATGTGTCTGTACGATAAAAGTAGATTTTATTATTTTAATCTAACTATAAATAGGATGTCTGGCCAATGTGTCCTGTGATATAAGGGTTGAATGTGGTGGGAAAGCCACCATATCACTTTTTAATAAATTTAAAATATTTTATATTCTTTCTAATGATTTTAGCGATTACTGATTTTGTGTATTTATTTGACTGTGGTCTCGACGCTGCTTTGTGTCGACTCAACACATTCAAACAGTATCAAGTTTCAGCAGGAATGTTCTGTATTCAAAAGACAAAAAAAAAAAAAAAATGAGCAGAACATATTTGGCAGATGTTATCACTCTGTACAACAGGGTGACTGATGATGATGATGGGATGATATACAAATGATAGTTATTTTGAATACTGAGGTTCCTTATGTCATGTCAGCCTACATTGTCATTCTCTGCCATAATCAAAATAGAAACAAAGTAAAGGAGGGAATACGCACGGGCAGTTTTTCATTATAATCCTTGAGGCGTCTGGTCCTGCCCTTCCCCCTACATTCTTCTACTTTTAAACCACAGCTTCCTAGTTCAAAGACAAGTGATGATATTCTAAGAAAAATACTGAAATTAAGATATTTTCTAAGGGTTTACTGTTATCACTCTACCCTTATCCTATATGCTATTGTTATTATCCTTTGCGTGCCTAAGAAAGCCTGTTTCTTGGGTGAAAAGCAGTTGAGAGAAGCAATAAGAACTTTTAAGAATCTTTAAATTGAGATTTCTTAATTACCAACACGGTAAATCAACATAACCAAATAAATATAATTATGAATCTTTTTAAGCATTTTGTTGGGTACATTAAATGAAGTAAAGGTCGATTACACACATTATTGTTCATTATTACTAATTAAATTGAAATGTCTATGATTAGGCCTTTTTGATTTCACAGTTCATTCTATGCCCCTTATCAGTTTAATCAACAAATCACACCTCTAAAAGAATGTGTCATACCTAGCAACAGGTTCAACAACACCTTCTCAATAATGTACAAGATTCTATTTCTTCCTCGCTCAAAATAACTCCTTATCTAGGACTTCTTAGTAAATGTAATAAAATGAAGTTAAAAGCTCTCGGCCCCAGATGACAGCAGACAGAGACCTTTCTCTTCCTCTCTTATTTTAACCCTGTACTACACACCAACTGCTCTGTGGCTCTACTCCTGAAACCTTGGTGTGTGCACAGCAGCACTGTAAAGCAATGACAAATCCACATGTTAAACTATTTAATCTGTTTAAAACTATGAAGAAATGTTGCTTTATAGATTATAACACTACATAGCAGCAGACGCCTTACACAGTGGCCTGGTCTGGCTGTTGTCTTGTCTGGCAGGTCATCTCCCTGGGTGCCATTCTGTCTATCGCTGTTTTTAGATACAGATAACACACGGAGCCAATTGCCTTCAGGCATCTCTTCTTATCTCCTCAGAGAAGACTCATACGCTTACATGGGAATATGCAAGACGTCATCTTTCTGCACCTCCTATGAGCATATTACACAAACACAAACACTAACGCTTAATGCATGCACTCGATGTTCTTGGCAGGTAGGTAAACAACTTGACGCCCACAGTTACAGTAAGCTTGCTTTGCTGTGTCTCATTTCTTTGTAGATTTGATTTTCCTCCTCCTCCTCCTGGTCCTTCTTTCTTCTCCTATTGCGTGTGAAGGATGACAGCAAGGAGCACACATGCCCCGGTCTAATTAGATAATGGCAGACAGCATAGCTTTCATTAGTGAGGCCCAGACTCTCCCCCCATATACTTCTACATTATGCACTCATACATAATGCCTCGCAGACACACACACACACACACACACACACGCACACGCACACGCACACACGCTGGTGCTTATTACGACCGCTGAAACTCCTGGTGGCATGTGACATATCTAAATAAGATACACACTCCATGTTGGCATCTTTCCTTTCTTACTTGTAATAAATGATGCTATTTACTGTGATTAATAGGTGAAAACTACTGACATTATCTCACTTGTCTTGATTACCCTATTAAAAGTTATTAAATGGACTATAATATAGGCCTTTCGTGAAAAATGGTTTCAATGCAAAAAAAGCGTCTGCATGCTTTGATAATCGTATTTAATTTGTGTAAGTGCATATAAAGCAGTTGAGATTGAGAACATGCTTGTAGATTTTTATTTGCTCTTGTTAAAAGGGTATAAAAATCGGAAGCATTCCAGTTTTCTTAATTGCCGAACACAGTAGATGTTTAGGGTTTGATCGAGCCCTGAGAAAATGTTGGCAGTGCTGTTCACAGGAGTGTTTATGAACTCTTGCTTAGTGTCTCGCGTGACAGAAGGAGCATCCCCCTCCACATTGAAGTCCCGACCCCACCAGCTTGTTCATAACTTGTTCTGTGTGCTGCCACTGTTTAGCTCGTTCTCATTCTGTCTTATTTTGGCACATCTGGGGGAACATGTGGCGGTGGCAGACTGAATTAATATGGCTGTCTCGCCGATATAAAGGCTTCGCAGTTGAAACACATATTTTGTGGCAAACGTAACTGCTACCATCCTGGAAGCTCATTGCAAAACAAGACACTAACAGCTACTGCTTTCATCACCACCTAGCTAGGAACCATAACAGCTACATTTGTTAGATTCACATTACTATGGCATGATGGAATTTATAGTCAACATTTCTACTATTAAGTTATTTAATTAAAACAGATTCAAATTTTAGCTCGAAATATATCCTTCCCCTCAGAATGAATTATAATACCTTTACATACCTCTTAACTTTTGATTAAGTGCCATCATCTGCTCAGAAGTTTGTTTATGACCAAACATTCACAAACCTGATATTTCCATCAACCTCAGTTGTACTCCTGGTTGCTAACGAAGCCTCATCATCACATACTGAACTCTAATGTTTAACATGGTAAAGAATGAACTAGCTTACCATGAGCATGTTAGCATTGTCGTTGTGAGCATGTCAGCTAGTGATGTATTTCAAATTGGAGTAGCTGAACAGTCATTTTGAAGCTGCCATTTCTAACTTTAAAACGTACAAGCAGATACCATGCAAACAGAAAATCCCCGGGCTCCAACATTACATTTTGCAGTTGTATTTACAGAGGTTCTCAAGCTTTAGGCCTTCAACCTGACCCCAAGATCCTTTGCAGCATCATCTGAAAGCCCTCTATTTGTTGAGTGTTGGTGTGTGTAACCCTTCGCTCTCTCTCGCCTCTTTATCCTCACTCCAGATGCAGCAGGTGAGCATGCATCACTCCACAGACAGCGGTCTCTGCCCCACCGGCCGCCCACCATCCCACTGGTGGCTCGCATCGCTGACCAGAACACATCCGGCACCCCGATCATGACCGAGAGGGAAGCGTCCCGTCTGGATAAGTTCAAACAGTTGCTGGCCGGGCCAAACACTGATCTTGGTACGTGATAGTTCCTCGTCTCGCTCTACATTTGATCTTTTTCTTTTTGTTACCGAAGCTCTTTTCCTTGCACACTTTTGCTTCTCACTCTTAGTTTACTCGCTCTCGGTCTGCCAGCTGTGCCGCGCTTTTAATGATGATGTGAGGGGGAAAGTCATCCAGCCATCTGGACATGCAGATTACAAGGGGAAAAAATACCACCGACAACAAAAGCAAATGACAGGCCTTTGTTCTAACCAAACGACAGGCCTTTTATTGTTTATCCAACCCCAGAGACTTTGCTCCCACTGCCATCCCAGTGGCCATGAAATCCTCGCAGGCCTCCCTCTTCACAGCCGACTTTGTGTCCTCTGAAACTAACTTTTGGCAACCGCTACGCTAACTCGGTGCATCAATCTCATAGTTTCAGAAGATTAACGACGTCAAAGTGGCTATCGGAAGAGTGTGCGAAATGAACCTGTCTGAAGCTACATGGTAATGTTGAGATCCAGCCAGAGAGCGATCCATCATTTACAAACACAATGTTGTGTAATGGGAACGCTTAGGCCTGCTGTTCTAAAGGCAGTAGCTTCCTGAATCGCAAGAGTCTTTTTTTTTTTACATCATTTTAAAAAGGTAAGGCTGCATAGAATGAAGGTCACAAAGTAATGATTGCTGAAGCAGAAAAACAATCAAATGTCAAGTCATCCCATAGGTCAACCACTGTAAAAACAAAATGCATTTAAATAGTGATCACTGAAATATTGGGTTTTTCAGTTTTTTTTAGACATAATAATAATATTAAAGGTGGGGTAGGTAATTTTGGAGAAACCAGCGAGTGCGCTAGAATTTGAAAATACTTTAGCCGGAAAAAATCTGCCACTTCCTTACAGAGCCCCTCCTCCAACACACACGAACGCGCACATGACCAATGAGGGCACGAGATAAGTTTGTGCACAGATGGAAAGCTGACAGGCAGGTAGGCCATCCAGTTATTTTAGCGGGGCCGGCTAAAATGATTGGTCGTGCTTTTTACAGTACTACGGCTTCCACAGATGACATTTTTTTATGGATTTGTTGTCAAAGCACTTCAGATATTCATTGCTATCGGGATGTTAAGAGCATTCCATGGAATATAACAAAAAGTGTATCTCGAGCCGGTTTCTCAAACTTACCTTCCCCACCTTTAATCAAATTATGATATATATATATATACATATTTTTCAATTATATATAATTAGGAAAAATACTGTAATAAATAGATTTAAATAATAATGCAAAATTGTAAATATTTTGTTCTATGAGCTAAACACTACATATCAATATCTAACATCATCATAATAAATCTGATGTGATGCCATACCAGTCAAAGTCCTAGGCATAAGCGATACAAAAAATGTCGATTTTTGTTCAACTTTATGCTCTCAATATGGCTGTAAAATACCAGATATCCGATCATAAAAAGCAACTACCTGACATGATATCTGATATTTGCAAAGGGCAAGCACATGCTGCCTAATTTAAACCAAGCATAACTTGTATCTTACTAAATGAGGGGCCAGAATTATGAGGATATAGAATCTGTGCATTCTGTGAAAAGAAAAACATTGCTAAAGTTGTGGAAGCACTGTGACTGACTCATGAACTTGAGTTGTGTGGAGAGCGAGATCAATTTAAAAAGCCTATTTAAGTTCAGATATGTTCCGTGTTAAGATAAAAAAAAAACATTAAGGATGCGGTTGCATTTAGAATTGCCGCATCGTGTGTGTGTGTGTGTGTGTTTGTTGAGTGTGCCTGACAGAAGGGGAGCAGGAAGTGAGTCTGGAGGAGAGAATTTTAAAAGTGCAGTGCTTAGCAAGAGAATTGGTTATGCGCCTGTCTAAATACCCTAAATATGCTAAATACAAAAGGAGTGTGTCGGAGTTCTTTCAGTGCAGAAATTACACAGTTTAAATACCGTTGCTTCCATTCTCAAATAGTGGCTGAGGTCCTAATTTACCACAGCGGAAAAGGCTACCAGGCATTTATTGGAGACAGGCTATTATTAGAGATGAGCCTTTTATTTAGATTTTCTGGTTTGAGTGTATTTGAGTTATAATCTCCTCTGCTGTTTGCTGTTAATACACTTCCTCCTTTGTCTCATTCAGTGATTCAGAAGACATAGTCCTGTGACTGTAAGGCTGTATTTTAACAACACTTCAGTATAGACAGACTGATACTAGATTTTTCTTACAGATAACAATATTTATATTTAAAATGTTTGATTTATTAGATGATTATTATGTTATTTTTTTACATTTGGTTATTAAAGAATGAACTTGCTTGAGCTACGTGATCTAACATTTGGCCATTCCTGTGCTGACCTTTCTTGAAAATGTTCTGCTGACATTAGTTTGCTGCTAAAGAGCACAGACCCCCGGTACAAAGCAGTTTCTATAAGTGAAAAGTATTGCGTTTATTCTCCCCGTTATGCAGATCTACTCCAAAATGTAATCGTTTTATTTTTAAAAGGCTTTAATTTGCAAAAAGTGTCACAATTTTCTGTATTTAAACTGGGGCTGTCAATCAATTAAAAATATTTAAATCGCAGTTAATCACATGATTTCCATGGTTAACTCGCGATTAATAAAGAATGGCACAATTTCTATCTGTTGTAAATGTTCCAGCAGCAGTAAAGTAATTTGAGTTAGCTCCACCTTTACCAGCTGTGATGAACACATGCATCCATAGTCATAATGCATCTTTTCATATATAAATTGTCCATGCGTGGTCTGCCTTTAGTGAGGGGGGGGGAAGCTATCTGCAGCAGCTGTATGCTCGGCCAGCAAGTGGTGTTTAAGACTCTACGTATTCCGGTGGAAACTGGATTCACACCGACAGTAAATATAACTGGTGTTGTGGAGAACCATCTGGCGGTGCTTTGAAGCCGAACGGTTCTCTCTGCGTTTGAGGCTTGTTTCTGCTCACTCTCCACAATGTTACTGCGGCTGTTTCTCAAACTACGGAGCAGGCCGAGGGTCAGAAAGCATGCGCGCATTAATCGCAGTTAAAGAAAGTTGCATTATTAACCCGTTTGACACCCCTTAATTAAACACTGAGATATTCCTCAGTGCATGTCGTTAGTTAACCTGCATCAGCAAAGCATATTCTGTCAAAACACGTGGCGTTGGTTCACAACTCCAATACAAGTGTGTGTGTGTTTGTACCCCTTGTCGCCAGTTTGTAAATGCCACATGTACACACACACACACACACACACACACACACACACACACGCACACACACACACGCGCACACAGCATTGGCTAAGCTCCTAAAATGTAAATGCTGCATTATTAAGTTTAAATGGCCTTAGTCAGCACAGTGGCTTCACGTCCAAGCACGATCCCCTTGAAAACTTTTTGTACAAAACAAACCGTTTCACAAGACGTCAGCGTTCGTCAACGGTGGTCGCGAGTGGACCTTGTACATCAGCAGAGTGTCTCGAGGTGTCGGCCCCCATTAGGGCCCGCCAGGCATCACAAGCCGGCTGTCTAAATTTAGTTTAGTCTCCGCGGCATGAGTAGATAGCCCAGAACGGGGCGAGCCACGCTGCTGGCAGCATGAAAGATGAACTTCATTCACGGGACATAATTAAGCGAAGGCTTGGGGAGGGGGGGGTGATGAGGGNTTAAAAAATAAAAATTAAACAAAACGTTTTTTATTTGGCGGCCCACTTGTAATGTCCCAAGCCCAACAAAACAATATCTAACGCAGCGGTTCCCAACCTGTGGGCTTGGGACATTACAAGTGGGCCGCCAAATAAAAAACGTTTTGTTTAATTTTTATTTTTTAAAGACACAAACATGGACATAACAATAACACATAGGAGATGACATTCCCATCTCAGACAAAAAAAACAAAAAACAGAAGAAATAAAGATACAGTCAGTAGGATCACTTCAACATTTCATAAACAAAAATAGGTTGACAACCAAAAACCGAGAAAACAACATGGCAAGCATGTATTGTTCCTTTAATCCCACTCTTCGTTAGAGCTCATTGTTTCCCATCTCATGGTCGGATGAGCCTTTGATTTTTTGTGGCACTAATCTTTTCCAAAAGGAATTACATTTTTAATCTACTCTTCAAACACCTTCAATTAAGATTACTCCCTGATTGACTTTTAAAAATATGTATTTTAGCCAGAAGAATAGTTGTATGTATTAACATCTAAAAGCCCAAATAAAATATTGAAGGGTGTAAATGTAAATTCAATATTTTCCGCCCAATGATTTGCAAAACATTATGATTTGTGTGAAAAAATCTTGATCCTCCTTAGCAACGGTCATTACAGTCCTTAGCAACGGTCATTACAGTCCTCGACAGCGGTCTGTTCTACTGGATTTACAATGTGTCACATGTTCTGAATCGACCAATCAGAACTTTATTTAGCCTCCATATTGTTTATGGTTGAATGTGGGCCGCAAAAAACATTTTTGATTCTTAAGTGGGCCCTGAGTCGACAAAGGTTGGGAACCGCTGATCTAACGATTATATCGACAATGGAGATTATTTTGTAAGATTTGTATTAACGTAATAAATATCAGCTTGTATTTAAAAACTACCAACTGCGAGAGAGCCACGCCTCCAAGTTTGTGTTGCAGCACAGAAATATTGACTACAAATAAGAAACACTACATACAGAAGTCAAATATTGGATGGTGATACATAGGATCCATAATGGGGGTTTCACACAATACCAATCGTTAGTTCTTCAGGGCTCTTTTCACTGTAAATCCACAAGAAGATGATTAATTTTGTGCTGCTGAGTTCCCCCTGAGACAGATTTTTCCGTGGTGTTTGCAGAGACACTTTATTTGCACAGAGCTCCTGCTGCAGAGGATGCATTCACTGAGCTTTGGAAATACGTTGAATTCATGTTGTCCACATGTCAAACAAGATTACATTACTGTATTAGTGCTAGTGCTGTAACAGTCCTCACACAGCAGGAAACTAAACAGCCTGAAGGATAGAAAGTGAGGCTTTGC